TTCCCTAGGTGCCCTGTAAGTACTGCCCTTGGGGCTTGGGGTTAGCTTCCACAAGTTCATAGGGTCCTGTCCCTGCTGGCCGTTTTACTGCTTTGTGTTTTGGCTGCCCTCTGGGTACTTGGGTGAGTTGTCTCCCTTGTTTACCTTAGGGTAAGATGCAGTTTGCATCGGTTTGGGCGCGGGGTGCTGCGTAGCTTGTTTTCACCGATTAGCGGCCGGCTCTATTCCTCTATTCCTCTAGGGTACGCTGTCCTCTTGCGGGGTTTTCTTTTTCATTTTGTTTTTTGTTTTGTGGGGGGGGGTGGATCTGCCCTGCTTTTTGCCCACTTGTGCTTGACCTATTATGGTTCTTCTCTGGTGGTGCCCCTTGCTAGGTCCCCATGAGTGTACACGTCTCTGGGGTGCAGCTTTAGTGTGTTTTCTTGGTAGTTTTGGGTGCCGGTTAGCAGTACTGTACCCTGCCTGGGGTTACCTGGGTGTGAGTCTCGTTAAGCGCTCAGGGCGCTGGGAAACCCCTGGGGGCGTGTGGGTCCAATGGATGTGACCCCGGGGTCCCCCCTCGCTTCGTGCGAGTTTAAGAGTTGTTTGGTCCCCTTGTCTCAGGGTGACCCTCACTGTCTTTGCCTCCGTCACGCTGCCTGTTGGGTCGGGGACACTTTCGACCTCGAGTCTTGTGAGTTCTGCTGCTTGCTAGTGACTCAATTTGCCCAGGCTACTGATGATCTTATGAGGGTACAGGTGGCGCAGGCATTGCATGCGCATTTTAGGTTGTTGCAACGCTCTCGGTTTGTTGCTCACCCGGATGCCCCGTTTTGCTTATAGGGACCCGGACTTGGGGGTGGGGGGTCGCTTCGACCTTGGTTCAGTAATCCCCCCCCCCTCGTCCTTCCCCTCCTGTTGTTCGTTCTGGTCCCCTCCCCCCCCTTTCCCCTGCTTCCGGCCCCGAAGCGTCTTAGGGTTTTGGAGCCGGAGTAGGGTTTAGATGGTCATGAGGCTCGGGCAGTCTCGGGGGATGCCCCTTCCAATGTGGTGACGGAGGCATTCGAGTGTAGTCTCCCTGCCGAAGCCACCGGGTCTGACCAGTGGGCCCCCTTTTATTCGGCTTACACGGCTGCGCAGGCCTTGTCTTTTGAGGCTGGTGCTTTGGGACATGACTTGGCTCCGGGTCCTGCGGAGGAGTATCTTGGGGCGGGGGAGGGGCCTTGGGTCCCGCTTGACCCCGCCTGGGTTTTTCAACCCTCTGAGCGGGGCTTGTTGTTACAAGGAGTAGGGTTCTCTTTTACACCCTTCTGTGTACGAATTGGATTTGGTGTCTGCTCCTCCACGGGTTCGGTTCGGTGTCCCCCCGGGGTGCGTCGGTTCCATCCTTCCGGAGGTTTTGGCTTCTCGCATACAACCTTCTACAGTGCGGGCAGTCCTTGCAGCTTACCTCCTGCGTGACCCGGATTATGCCTTGGTGATGGATCTGTCATTGTTCAGGTTTGGGACTTCGTTCCCTTTCTGGGTCCGTTACGAGGTTCCGGAGTCGTCCTGGCTGGTGGACTGTCCTGTCTTTGCGTTTTAGCCTTGGCGTTCATTCTGCCGTACCTGCACACTTGAGTGGCGCGAGGCTGTAACAGTGGTTCAGGTTTTCCTGGGGGGTGCCCTGGAGCACCTCAATGAGTGCTTGTTTGCCCCTGCCCTTCCCCGGGATGTGGACGTGGTGCAGCTCCATGTGCTGGTTCCTCCCTCTTGACTGCGCAGATTGCTGAGGACATGCGTGCCCGTGACCATTTGGCTTCAGCCTTGCATTTCTTCTTCCTCCTGGAGCTGTCTTCGGACTGGCTTGAGTTGGATGTAGGAGCACGCGGGGCCGTACCTTGGTCCGGTGCCTTGGGCTTGGCAGCCCGCTAGTTGGCTGCCATGCTGAAGCTGTTTGCGCCGATCCTGCAGGATGCGGTTTCCCTGTTCTATGCTTCCTGGCTTGCATTTCGGCAGGCAGTGCTTGCCTCCTCCCTGGAATTGGCCTGGGCCCTGGCTCTCACGATGTCTTTGCCTTTTTGTCCTCTGCTTTTTGAGGATTCTGCCGTGGCGCAGAATTTTCAGGCTGCTTCGGCTACTTGTCGTCCTATGTCCGACTTGTTGGTTCTCCAGGGGCCCCGGGTGAGGGGGCCTTCCCGGAAGAGTCGTGCCAGGGCTCGGGGTTCCTCTCGTCATGGTAGGCCACAGGTGCCCGGTTTGAGTTCAGTGCTGCCTTCAGTCCCACCTTCGTCTGGTCCGTGTGGTGGCCGCTCTGTGCGAGGCTCTGGGTCTCGTAAGGGGCGCAGGCCCTTTCGCGGCTCGCCCCATTGACGGGGCTTGCGCTGTTCACTCACGCATGGTCCCATGATTTGTGGGCGTTTCCGGTCGTTTCTTTCGGCCTGCGGTGGCGTTGGGTGGCCCCTCCTCCTTTGAGGGGGTTTGGGGTTGGCGGGCCAGGCCTCTTCCCCTGCACTGTCGGGTCATCTTGGAGTGGGTTCGCTTGGGCGTGGTCGAAACAACGATGTCCCTCAGATGTGTTCACCGTGTGTTCCTTGTACCAAAATGGGACTGTGCGGACCTGCGGTTCACTCTGGACTAGTCCCGTCTGAAGCCCTGGGTTCATTGCCCCTCCTTCTGGATGACTACTCTGTCCTAGGTCCTGCTTCTGTTGGAGCCGGGCGCTTGGATGGTGTCCCTGGACCTCCAGGATGCGTATTGGCACATTCCAATTCATCCGGGGTTCAGGGACTGGCTCGGTTTTGTTCTGGGGTGTCAGTTACCGCTTTCATTGTCTCTCATTCTGATTGAATCTGGCACCTCGAGTGTTCACACGCCTTACCCAGGTCATGATGGCCCGTCTGCGTCTGTTAGGTGTTCAGGTGTTTGCCTACCTCGACGACTGGCTGGTCTGGGCTCCCAGCCGGTCTGCTTGTCTGCTTGCCAGCAATTTGGTTCTTTCCCAGCTCGCTGGGTTCGGGTTCTTGGTGAACTGGAGGAAGTCCCATTTGGTTCCTTCTCAGGTTCGAACATGGCTGGGTCTTGTGTGGGTCTCTCGGACCTCTTCCTTGTCTCTCCCTCCAGAGTCTCTCCTTCGGCTGTGGTCCCGCCTTTTCCTGTTTCTGGAGGCTCCCGGGTCACTCGGCAGTTGTTCGAGAGTTTTATGGTTTCTTCGGAGCCATCCCTTCCGCCTCTCTCGCATCACTGGGTTCGACCCCTGGGGGCCTTGTGTCGGTTGCTGTGTCACCGGCTTCCTCTTCGGGTTTTTCTGGATTCAGTGCCTTGGTGCCTACTCGAGCCCTCACTTGATGTGTTCACGGACGCGTCGTCTCTTGGCTGGGGCTTTATGACCAGTGCTCACCAGGCCGGCCAGGAGCTGTGGGGTCCGTCCTTCTGCCGAGTCCTCAGCACAGTACGGGAGTTTGCGGCAGTGTGGTTTGCCCTTCGAAGGGTTTAGGTTGCCCGCGGATCGACGATCCGGCTCAGTTCGGACTGCTCCCCAGTGGTTTCTTGTCTGAACAGCAAGGGTTTGATGCGGTCTTTTGCTTTTTGGGGCTGGTCACTTCGGGTGACTCGTCTGCCAAGTTCTCGGGGTTTGGCTCTCCTGGCTGTTCATGTTCGGGGAGTGTCCAACATTCTGGTAGACGGCCTGTCACGGTTCGTTCCACTGTCCACAGAATGGACGGTCGATGCTTACTCATTCATTTGGCTTTGCTTGACGTTTGTGATCGTGGCATCTTCCGGTATATGTGGCGCCCTTCCCCAACTGCGAGGCCGTCGAGGTCAATGCGTTTCGGCAGGACTGGTCAAGGTGGGGGTTTCTGTACATCTTTCCCCCGGTTCAGCTGTTGCTCCAGGTCCTGGCTCGCTTGGAGACTTACCAGGGAAGAGTAGTCCTCTTTGCCCAGCCTTGGTTTCAGGCGCTGCTTGCACGGTGGCTGAACCCAGAGGTTTTTCAACGGCTGCACCTCTTCCAGCAGATCGGTCCTGATTGTCACGTGTCTGGTTCGGTCTTCTCCTCGAGTCTTTGCACTTGGTATTTTTGACTCGGGTCTATCACCACATGTATGGTGATCATGTGGCGTCCTTGGTGTGCCACCTACGGGCTTCGTCTCGGCGGCAGTATGAAGTTTCTTAGTGGTTCTTTTGTTTCTTTCTCTTGTTTCGCAGGTATTCCTCGCTTTTGGTTTTGTCCTTTCTCTCGTGGTTATTTCAGGACCGTCATCTTATGCTGAATACTGTCGCCTCATATCGTGCGGTGCTGATCATCACAATATATTTTCTCTTGACTTCACTGCTAGTTGAAGCCCTAAACAACATATTTCCTGCATTTCCGGACTCACTAGTAGCACGATGCAAAAAATATGCACCGATATAAAACAGTGAGAGAAGGGGAGGGGTTTTGTACGCCGCGGGTAAACAAAAACAAACAGCGGCGCCACCGGCTACATTGGTGGCCAGCCACGGAACTACATAGGTGGTCACGGGTCAGATCACAAACGAATAGGTGGAATAAACGAATGATTGGGGTCGGATAGCAAGGTCGGGGAGTGTACAGCGTACTCTCTCACCCTTGACTTTCATCTTATCCATCATGACCCTATGTACACTACTCTCACAAATGTATTGTTAGAGACAAACGAAACAATTTTAAATAACTGGAATAAAGATGCGTTCTCCTTTTGTATGTTAGTGTGAAGAAACTATAGTTCGGTACTGATACTTGAAGGGCAGATTCCCTTTTATTTTCCTATGGTGATCTTATGACTTACAATATTTTAATTTTCTCCCCCCAATTAATTAAGCTATCTACCATTGAAAGAGTTTTATCCCTCTCTCCAGAAATAATTTTTTAACTACCACTTTATAATATTTATTGATTGTTTTCCTTATTCTTGACCTCTCTAGTTGCAATATTGTATAAAGGGTCTAGATACAGTTCCTGCACACCCACATGCATAGACATTTTAGTATAGCCAATTAATACATGTTTTCCTTTGAAGGTCATGCATGTTCCGACCAGAAAGCCTTGAACAGATAATTTCAGGCTGCCATGGAACCAATGGAATTGATGTTTACATAACAAATGAACGCCTTATTGTTTTGGACTGTCAGCCGCTCCTCTCTCCATCCATCATGGATCGCCTCATCACACAGGAGAAGAAGTTTACATCAGATTACAAGTATGTGAAAATGTCTCCTCGTAGTTTGTCAAATATTGTATGCAATTATTACATAAGTGTAATTACCTAAGTGTAGTTACAGGATGAGAGCTACGCTCGTGGTGTCCCGTCTTCCCAGCACTCTTTGTCATATAACGCTTTGAAACTACTGACGGTCTTGGGCTCCACCACCTTCTCACCTAACGTGTTCCAACCGTCTACCACTGTTTGTGAAAGGGAATTTTCTTATATTTCTTCGGCATCTGTGTTTAGCTAGTTTAAATCTATGACCTCTTGTTCTTGAAGTTCCAGGTCTCAGGAAATCTTCCCTATCAATTTTATCAATTCCTGTTACTATTTTGTATGTAGTGATCATATCACCTCTTTTTCTTGTCTTCTAGTTTTGGCATATTTAATGCCTCTAACCTCTCCTCGTAGCTCTTACCCTTCAGTTCTGGGAGTCACTTAGTAGCATGTCTTTGCACCTTTTCCAGTTTGTTGATGTGCTTCTTAAGATATGGGCACCACACAACCACTGCATATTCTAGCTTTGGCCCAACAAAAGTCGTGAAGTTTCTTTAGTATATCGCCATCCATGTATTTAAAAGCAATTCTGAAGTTAGAAAGCGTGGCATAGGCTCCTCGCACAACGTTCTTTATGTGGTCCTCAGGTGATAGTTTTCTATCTACAACCACCCCTAGATCTCTTTCTTAACCCTTGTGTTGCTCAGGGTTAATTAGCATTTGTCACCCACAGGCACATACAAAAAAAATATATATATATATTTTTTCTTCTAAACCTGTCAATTTGTCTTCTCTGATCATGGGAAAAATAATAAAAAAAAATTGTAAGTGGCATATATTGCCACTCACAATTTTTTCTTACAAGTCTGGCAAAAAACGCAGGTGGTGACTCAGCATGTGTCCCAGACGGTCTGTTGCTCGCCAGCTGTCAGTCAGGAGTGGCCACAAAGAGATAATTACCTAATTATTTCAATGTCTCTGATTTATTTTTCGTAGTTTTTATGATGCAACCTGCCTCCCCTGACATCATTTTATCATCCTTCAACCATTTATCACTGGAAACAATGGGTAAGCAAAATATAATACTGCACAACTGTTTACACTTTGGTGAATCATAGTTGATGACAGTGGCTGTCATCAACTATGACAGCTCGATCTCGGTGATCGTTTGAACGAACAATGCCTGCTTAATCGGACATTTGTATGTTCCACTGAAAATTTTGTACCGAATTCAATTTGTTCTGATCTTCTGGGAATTCACTACAGTGGGGTTCGTTAGAGTCAGGATGCAGTGTATTTCTCTTTCCTTATTTCTTTTTCTTTCCCCTTGTTTTCTCTTACGATCCCTTTTGTTCCTATTACTGTCCCCCTTCTTATTCCTATTAATATCCCTTTTATAACACCTTTTGTACTTTTTGCCTTGCTTTTTCTTCCTCTAAGATTTTCTTCTCACCTCTCTCTTATTTATTGCTTTCGCCTCCTTCCCTCATCACAATCGACTTAAGAATGGTTCGGGACGGACCGAAACGTCGTCGTCTCTTTACTTTCTAGTGTGTGGTTTGGTCAACATATTTCAGCCACTTTATTGTGACTCCTTGTCTGCATTCACTATCACTTCAAGATGATATAACTAGGGGTTTGAAATGGTCAAAAGATTGGCAGATGCAGTTTAATGCTGACAAATGTAAAGTTTTGAGGCTAGGTAATGATGATAGAGTTACAAGATACGAGCTAGATGGTGTTGAGATTGCAAAATCGGATTGCGAAAGGGATCTGGGAGTTATGATTAGGAAGAATTGAAAAAAAAATATCAGTGCATAAATGTTCGTAATAAGGCCAATGGGACACTGGGATTTATTAATCGAAGCGTTAGTAACGAGACACCTGGTTGTTGTTCAGCTATATTTTGATCTGGTTAGGCCCTATTTAAATTATGCAGTCCAGTTTTGGTCACCGCACTATAGAATAGATATAAATTCACTAAAAAGCATCCAGTGTAGGGTGACGAAGTTAATTCCCAAATTAGATACAGTACCTATCATATGAGGAAAGACCGACAAAGCTTAAATTAAATTCTCTAGAAAGGCGAAGAATTGACAAAGCTTAAATTTAAATCTGGAAAAAGATGAAGAGTTAAGGGTGACATGATAAGAGGTGTACAGGAGGATGAATGGACATAACAAAGAGGATATTAATGGAGTTTTAAAAGTATCAACATAAGACAGAACACGAAACAATGGGTAAAAAATTTTTAAGTTTAGATTTAGGAAAGACCTGGGTAAATATTGGTTCGGTAACAGGGTTGTTGACTTGTGGAACCAGTTGCCACATGGCGTGGTGGAGGTGGGATCCCTTGATTGTTTCAAATGTGGGTGGACATGTATATGAGTGGGATTGGGTGGTTATAAATAGGAGCTGCCTTGTATGGGCCAATAGGCCCACTGCAGTTACCTTTATTCTTATGTTATTATTATATGCCAGAGTGCTGGGAAGACTGGGAAGACACCACAAGTGCATAGCTCCCATCCTGTAACCACTTTTAGGTAAGTACAAACCCCACACACCCCAGATTAGTCCCGGAGCTGAGTGGTATGAGTTACGAGGAAATACTGTGTGAGATGCACCTCACGTCTGTTGAAGAGACCAGAGTTAAGGGAGACATGATAACCACCTACAAAATTCTCAGAGGAATTGACAGGGTGTACAAAGACAAACTATTTAGCAGTTGGAAGAGGAGGATGGTTTCATCTTCCAACATGTTTGAAGGAGACATACAAACACAAAATATACAAACAAAGGGACAGTGATCAAAACATAGTGCTCAAATGAGCCACAGAGACATTAGAAAGATTTTTTCAGTGTCAGAGTAGTTATCAAAGGGAATGCATTAGGCAGTGTTGTGGTGGAGGCTGACTCCATACACAGTCTCAAATGTTGATATGATAGAGCCCAATATACTCGGGAACTGTACTCCAGTTGATTGACAGTTGAGAGGTGGGGGGACCAAAGAGCTGAAGCTCAACCCCTGCAAGGACAACTAGGTGAATACACAGATTGCTTAATATATGTGTACATGATTGTACTGCATTTGTGCATTGGCATGGCCATTGGCATGGCCATTGGCATGGCCATTGGCATATGTACAAAAAAGAGCTGTGATATCAAACAAGTTTCTGTAGTTGCTTGAGATAAGAGATTGCGGCATTTAATATACATCTTGGACCACTTCTTGCCTAAACTAGTTCCTTTCTTTACTTTCAGCTCAACAGAGAACCTTATGGAAGTGGAGTCACTGCAGGTGCTGACACTAGTAATGAGTATTGCACATGTGGTCATCATGGTTCAAGATAGTGCTGCAGATCCTAATCTTATTCGTCTCCTTCAAACATGTGAGATGATGAAACCCTCCTCCTCTTCCACACCATCTTGCTCATCTTCCAATGCTTCATCACCATCAGTCAGTGAAGATACCCAGCAGTATTTCCCTCACGTGGTCTTCGTTCATAACCGAGCTCCGCCACATCACTTCACACCTGCAACTTTGAAAAAATTGCAAGTGAGTTCATGAACAGTTAATAACATGTAAAAATTAATTCTAACAAAACTAATTTGTAGAATTGTATTTATTCTTTTTAATGTTAATTAAACTCTGAATTTGGGGTTAATAATTTGGAAGTAAGCTTTTAGATATTAGAACAGGAACTTATCACTTATCCAAATATCAGCAAAGGTAGTTAATAGACAAAAAATATGTAAGAGATGTAGTTCAAAGTGAAGGTTACAATGTATATGTCAGGGTGTGGAGTGTGTATGGATGGCTGAGATATTGGAGCACTTGTGTATGAGTAGACATTAGTGTCATCATTCTACTTTATGAAGAAAATACAGAAAAGTATTTTAAAGAATAAGCCTGACTGGTATGACACTGATCTTGTAATTTTAAGGCTTAAAATTGAATCTGCTATGATCGAAATGAACAAAAAGGAATTGTGTAAACCTAGTAATCATGTTCTGGGGAAAGTTAAATACCAGTTTTTTCTTTAGAGATCCCCTTTGGCTCCCTGGAGCTATACTGAGCTGATGTGTATATACTATTAGACCATGGCAACAGTCAACTGATGGAGTTCTAAAGTTACCGGGGACCAGCGGCAGAACCTGGCCCCCTTAAGAGAGGCATGAGGAGCAATGGCCTATAGACACCCCAATGTAATTGGAAACAGTGTGTCTGCCATCTACCAGGTCAGGCACCCAGAAAGACAGGAATTACAAGACAAACTACAGCTGGTTAAAAATTGCAAACCGAAAGCCGAACTAGCAAGTAAAACTCCCCAATTGAAAATAAGTAAACAAGCATGACGTCACCACAGTCACCGCGCTGCTGTCTGAGCAACTCTCCCTTCCCCAGATGGGGAAGGAGTGTTTAAACTCTCCCTTCCCTGCTTGTTCTTTCTTCAGTCTCAGACCTCGCACACCGGCTACCCAACATCAGTTCACAGGCTGTTGTGATTAATGGCGGTCGATTGACTCTGGTTCCATCCTTTTGAGCAGTGCTGCATAACAGTGTTGTTGTTCTGTGGTGGTGGTGTTTGAGCAAGGAGTAACACAAGAGTACTGGGGTTGCATGCACCTAGGGCCATCTTCCCTAGGTGCCCTGTAAGTACTGCCCTTGCAGTTTAGGTGTACTTTTCATGAACCGTTTGGGAGACTACCTCCAAGTGATTCTGTTGCTGCTCGGTGATTTCCCGCCCTTGGGGTTCAACTGGGGTGGCTCTTACTTCTGTTTACCTTGGGTAGAAGATAGTATCATCACTGGCTGGGGCATAAGGTATTGTGCAGCTGTCTGATATACACATAGCGACCAGTTCTGTTCCCCCTGGAGACGACTTTTTCTTTTCTGGGGGGAGCCCCGTCGGCTCCCCGGAGCTATCCCAGGCTGATATGCTAATGTCAGACTTTGGCATCAGTCATGTGTATGAAGTTCTTAGACCTACCGGGGACCACGGCCAGAACCGGGCCCCCTCAGAGAGGCAAGGGGAGCAATGGCCTATAGGAACCCCCGTGTGGTTGAAAGCATTCTATATCTGCCTTCGACTGGATCAGGCATCCAGAAAGGTAAGCGCCCCAAAACAAACTGCTATTCTGGTTAAAATTGCTACCAAAAGCCGAACTAGTGGATAGAACTCCCCAACAAAAAACGAGCAAAGTAGTGTGACGTCACACATCGCCGCGCCGCTTTCTGCGCAGTTCCCCCCTCCCCGGGAGGGGGAAGAGGGAGCCCTAGACCCTTCACGCCGGCTGCCCACACCTCAGTTCTTGAGGCTGATGCTATAGGCAAAGGTCGTGTGCTCTGGCTCCAGTGTCGCTACAGCACTGTGCTTCGTGTGTGGTGGTTGTTTTCTGTGGGTGCGAGAGCCAGGAGTTATCTTCAGTACTTGGCTGCATGCGCCTAGGGCTGCCTTCCCTAGGTGCCCTGTAAGTACTGCCCTTCGAGCTTGGGGCCACCTTCCATTGGCTCCTCGGGACCTGCCTTAGCTGGTCCATTCTACCGTTCGGTTTTTCGGCCGCCTGTTGGGCTCTTGGGTGTTCTGTTCTCCCTTGTTACCAGCAGGTAAGAGGCAGTTTGCACTGGTAGGGGCGCAGGATGCTGCGCAGCTTTGTATTACCGACATACCAGCCGGTTCTGTTCCTTGAGGTTCGCTGCCCTCTTGCGAGGTTTTGTTTTTCTTTTTGTTTTAGCCTTGTGGGGGGTTCTGCCCTATTAATCCACTGGTGCTTGCCCTTCCACTGTTCTCCTCGGTGGCACCCCCTGCTAGGTCCCCGTGAGTGTACACGTCCCTGGGGTTCAGCTATAGAAGTTTGCTTGGTAGTTTTGGGCGCCGGTTAGCTGCACCCTGCCTGGGACTACCTGAGCGCGAGTCTTCTTAAAGTAAACGCTCAGGACCCTGGGAATCCCCTAGGGGGCGCGTGGGTCCGATGGATGTGACCCCGGAGTCCCCACTCGCTGTGTGCGAGTTTGAGGGTTGCTCGGTCCCCTTGTCTCGGGGTGACCCTCATTGTTTTTGCCTCTGCCACGCTGCCTGTTGGGTCGGTGATACTTTCGACCCTGAGTCCTGTGAGTGTTGCTGCTTGCTTGTGACTGAATTTACCCAATCCTCTGATGATTCTATTCGGGTACAGGCAGTGCGTGCATTACAAGCTAGGTTTCATCTATTGCAACGCACTCGGTTGGTTGCTCACCCGGATGCCCCGGGGCTCCCCCGCTTTGCTTTTCGAGACCCTGACTTGGGGGTAGGGGGGTCACTTCGATCCTGGTTCAGTCCACACCTCCTCATCCTTCCCCTCCTGTTGTTCCTTCTGGCCCCCCCCTTCCCTCCTGCTTCCAGCCCCGAAACGTCTGAGGGTTTCGGAGTCGGAGCAGGGGTTACTTGATCTCGAGACTCGGGCAGCTTCGGGGGATGCCCCTTCCGGGGGGGCCGAAAAGGCTTTCGAGTCTTGTCTCCCGGCCGAAGCTTCTGGGTCTGACCAGTGGGCCCCCTTTTCTTCCAGCTTCTACGGCTGCTCCGTCCTCGTCTTGTGGGGTTGGTGCTTGGGGAGAGGACTCGGCCCCGGGTCCTGCTGTGAATGACCTCGGGGCTGGGGAGGGGCTGCCTTGGGGGCCTTGGGCCCCGCTGGACCCCGCCTGGGTTTTTCTTCCCTCTGAGCAAAGACATCAGAAATGATATGGTGGAAGTGCTAATAATAAAAATAAGAGATCCTAAATGTAGTTATTGTCCTTGTATATAAATCACCGGAGGCAAATCATCAGCAGTTTAAAGACCAACTAATGAAAATAGAGCACTGATTGGAAACCCTCACAAATCCGGCCCCAAATATCATCCTTCTTGGGGACTTCAACCTACGGCATCTGAAATGGAAGACCATAGCTGATACGGTTGTATCAGAGAGAATTCCAGGAAGTAGCCTAAATGAACAGTCCCATGCAAATGACCTCCTACAGATGTGCGACAGGTTTACCTTAAACCAGCAAATAGTAGAACCAACTAGGAAGGACGCTAGACCTCATTTTCACTAATAATGATGAATTGATCAGGGACATATTAATTACAAATACCTATTACTCAGAACACAACTTAACACTATCGGTCACCGGGCAGGTGCGCGATCAACTTAGGGGTCATGCACCCAACGTGCGGGCGAGCGTGCGGGTAAACGCGTGGTGACACCTAAATTTTTATACTCGTTTCAGCTTTCTCACCTTAATTCTCGTGCTACGTCACTCGTTTTGGTATCATTGTGTTCGCAATTAAATTCCCTACAGGTGTGTAGAAATATAATGTCCAAAAGCCTGGCGTGACTCCCAACAGCAAAGCCTAAAGTCGGCAAAAGTTACCCGTGAGCGCACAAAATCAGTAATACAGTATATGTATACTAGTTTCATTTTTCTCACCTTAATTCTCGTGCTACGTCGCTCGTTTTGGTTTCATTGTGTTCACAATTAAATCCCCTACAGATGTGTATGAATATAATGTACAAAAGTTTGGAGTGCCTCCGCAGAAAAGCCTAAAGTTACCTGTGAACGAGCACCAATTTGTACACTGCAACCTAATGTGTATACTCGTTCAGTTTGATAACATCAATTTTCATGTTACGTCTTTCATTTTGGTATCAAATTGTTCGCAATAAAAAGGTGCGTATTTTAAAACTAGTCCCATAATAATAGAGCAATAACTGGAATTTTAACAAATATTTTAATTCTGGAAGCTCATCATCACAAAATTATTTATATCTTTCCAGTGTTCTGACATAAATTTTTGTGTTACATCTTTCATTTTGGTATCAAATTGCTTGCGACGTAAAGCGCGCATTTTAAAACTAGTCCCAACAGAATAGCACAATAAATAGAATTTTAACACATTTTAAAATTTTGACCAAAAACCTATTTATAATCATATAAGTGTTTGGACATCGTTTCATGTTACATCTTTCATTTTGGTATCAAATTGTGCGCATTCTAAAGGCGCTTATTTTGATACTATCCCGAGGTCGATTGGATAAAAAATGAATTTTATACAAATATTTTTGTAGTGGACGCAAGTCCGGTCCAAAGTTAAGATTCAAGAGAAAAATAATGGACGAGAGTCCGGTCCAAAGTTACCGATAGTGTTAATTGAAGTTCTGACTAGCATGGGGAATAAGCCTTCAAAACCAGACCCGATTCCCGATGGAGGAGATTTCAGCAAATTCAACAGATAAATAAACAGATAAACTGGGAGCAAATAAACCAGGACGTCACAGAAATAAACTGGGAAGAACAGCTAGAAAATGTAAACTTGAACCAGTGCCTGGAAAAAATAAGCTCAGTAGCACTAGAAATATGTTCAAACCGCATACCCCTAAGAAAAAAGAGGAAGAGATGCAAACTGGAACAGGAACGTCGTTCCCTCTACAGGCGAAAAAAACGAATCGCGGAACAACTTGAGAGTCGCACCCTATCTCAAGAACCGCGAAGAAGGTTAGGAAGAGATATAGAAACAATTGAACTAAAGCTACAAGAATCATACAAAACCAAAGAGAGCAAAAGGCCATCAGTGAAATAGAGAGAAATCCAAAATATTTTTTCTCCTATGCAAAATCAAGATTAAAAAACACATCTAGTATCGGGCCCCTGCGAAAGGGAGATGGAACTTTCACCGATGACAACAAAGAAATGAGCGAGTTACTGAGGAAGCAGGACGACTCTGTTTTCAGCGAGCCACTAAACACACTGAAGACTGATAACCCAAATGAATTTTTCATGGATATGATACCAACATCAAATTATATCAGATGTCACCCTATCCCCACTGGATTTTGAAGAAGCCATAGACAGTATGCCTATGCACTCTGCACCAGGCCCGGATTCTTGGAACTCCATATTCATCAAGTACTGTAAAAAACTGCTATCGCAGGCCCTTCACATTCTTTGGAGACAAAGCCTAGATACTGGCATTATCCCTGACATATTAAAAACAGCAGAGATAGCACCGCTCCATAAAGGAGGAAATAAGGCAGAGGCAAAAAATTACAGACCGATAGCACTAACATCGGACATCATAAAAATCTTTGAGAGAGTGCTAAGTAGTAAGATCACAAAATACATGGAATCACAGCATCTCCATAACCCCTGGACAACATGGTTTCAGAACAGGGCACTCTTGCCTATCACAGTTGCTGGACCACTATGACATGGCACCAAATGCCATGGAAGACAAACAAAATGCTGATGTAATTTACACAGATTTTGCAAAAGCCTTTGACAAATGTGACCATGGTGTTATTGCACATAAAATGCGTTCAAAAGGAATTATCGGAAAAATATGCCGATGGATCTACAATTTCCTAACTAATAGAACCCAATGTGTAATAGTCAACAAAATAAAATCTGGACCATCAACCATAAAGAGCTCAGTCCCCCAGGGTACTGTGCTTGCTCCACTACTTTTTCTCATCCTCATATCGGACATAGACAAGGACACAACCTATAGTACTGTATCATCCTTTATAGATGACACTAGGATTTTTATGAGAGTAGACAACATAGAGGACACGGCAAACCTCCAATCAGATATCAATCAGGTCTTTCTATGAGCTACAGAAAATAACATGGTGTTTAACGAAGATAAGTTTCAGCTCATGCGCTATGGAAAAATAAAAATATAAAAACGGAAACCACATACAAAACTCAGTCAAATCATAACATAGAACGGAAAGGCAATGTAAAGGATTTGGGTGTACTAATGTCGAAAGACCTTACATTTAAAGAACACAATAAAGTAGCCGTCACAACTGCAAGAAAAATGACAGGTTGGATAACAAAAACCTTTCACACTAGAGATGCTATACCGATGATGATACTTTTCAAAACGCTAGTGCTCTCTAGAGTGGAATACTGCGGCACAATGACAGCCCCTTGTTCAAAGCTGGAGAAATTGCTGACTTGGAGAATGTGCAGAGATCCTTTACTGCTAGAATCCACTCAGTAAAACATCTAAACTATTGGGACCGACTAAAGAACCTAAATCTGTATTCTCTTGAGCGCAGGCGGGAGAGATACATAACAATTTACACATGAAAAATAGTAGAGGGGCAGGTCCCAAACCTGCACACAGAACACATGAGACCAGAAGGCATGGCAGGATGTGCAGAATACCCCAGTTGAAGAGCAGAAGTGCAACAGGTACTCGGAGAGAGAACTCTATGAACATCAGAGGCCCAAGACTATTCAACATGCTTCCGCTACACTTAACACTTTCGCACTATCGGCGTTCAGAAAAAAATCATACCCTATGTGCTTTCGGCGGTTCGCGCGCCTACGCGGTAAGACCGAAAAAGTGTACACTCTTTTGACTGTCCTGACAATAATTGAAGGCGCACGTATTTAAATTTGGTATCACTGTGTTCGCAATAAAATTGTCTATAAGAACATACCTATAAAATGCCGCCAAAGCATAAGGACTATCAACACCAAATAAAAAACTATTCAGATCACTCGCCGAGAGTGCCAAACAGCAACAAAATGTTTCCACTCTCTTAATGGTTGCGAAGCCTACCGTTGTCCTACATCGCTAATTGTGGTATCATTGGAATCACAATAAAATTCTCAATACGGACATACACATATGAATGTTTAATCAAGGTATTTGCCCACCCGCAAGAGAGTGGGAAGTGGACGAGTAGTTAGCCGCGAGCGCAATGGCGAAAACACATGCGGGAAATCACGCTTGGAAAGTTTATACATTTATACGTGTCCTGACCTTACTTTTCTATGTACGTATTTCTTTTTTATAGCAATGTGTGCGCAATAAAAAAATTTATAAGAGGAAAGGTATAAAAATTGTACAAAGCATGTGTACGAGAAGTGCCAAATATAAAACTACATCGCTCAGTATGCGTTCGCGGCAAAAACGAACGCAATGTTTTCGTTCGTTTGATGTTTCTCATGTTTATACTTGTTGAAACACTTTATTATTTGTATGACAGTGATCGCAGTAAAATTTCCTACACAGACATATACATAACACATACAAATATTTCCCACGTCTTGGCAATATCAACGGCTAAAGGGAACCCACTGCCACACGCCCGCCACACCCAGAGCCACACCCGCCACACCCCCAAACATACTTTGTGTTTTTTTCTTGTTACTCATAGAAGTTTATGTGATATAATATTCATTCTGGTACCAAAAAATTCGCGAATAAATTCTCTACAATACGTATATAATATAATATCTTATGGATGATAAAAAATTCCAAATAGGTGTACTTACCATGTCTATGTTGATTGAAGATCAACAGTTGAGTATTTTTTCCTCACTCCACCATCTTCAGGCTTCAGATCCTGAAGTTGCTCAGCTGATGTTTCTTAGGTGGAGTGAAGCTGTTGTCGGTGGTTATTTTTTCTCCACCCAAAATATCTTTCTTCGGTGGTACCTTGTGTAGCAAAGCACAGCGCACAGTGCCACATCACAAGTTTTACATCCAAGTCTCACGTCCCTCCTTATGTCAGACTTGAAACAAACACGGCATCTTTTTTTTTTAGGCAGGTTCACGATTTCGTGCGTCAACTTCTAGTTCACACGTTGTTCTGAATCGAAAATTCGTCTATTTCTTGGATGAACTGGAGTAATATTGTCTTCTTCAGGAACAACTACACTTGTAGCAGAATCTTCTGTAATATCCGTAACGTCTAGTGGTTCTATGTCATCCATGTCCATTTCAGAATTTGTTGTCGACGACTGGGCTTGAGGTGTTGAGGTGAAAAGAGGCCGCCTCGCACCAGATGGGCCGGGTGTTGAAACTGCCGCGTCAGCAGGAGGAGCTGCGCTGGCATCTATGTCGGGAACATGTGGTATACTTGTTGTTGTTGGCCAGTCCTCACTGTTCCACGCCAATAAGGCTTTTATTCCTACTGCGTGAAACTCTAATAGTGTTAGTTTTTTTGTATCTGTTGAGTAGTGGTTATACAATGCGTATGCATTGTGCATGGCCATTTGCAGAAAATAGAAAGTGATCTTCTTGGTCCATTTGTGGGTTTTTCTTGCAAACTCATAATATTTGACCATTTGATCGAAATGATCAATACCTTTCATGAACTTATTGTAATCAACTATGGCCTTTGGTTTGTTCATTTTCACAATTTCGAGTCCAGTTCTCCCGTCACGTTTACGAACGCGTTTCCTGCGCTGTACTTGAGTAGTGTCGGCATTGTGGATATTGGTGATGACAGAGACGGGGCGCTTGTCCTTCCATACTATAACAAAGGTGTTATCCTTACGCATGTGTAGGGTCGTGTCTGTTGCCATTTTACCCTTTACCAGTTGTTGCAGATCCTTGGGGGCGCCACGTTAGAGTCTAAGTGTGCCACATGTGTAAACACCCACTTCACGTAATTTTTCTGTTAGGGTCACTGAGTTATAGTAGTTATCCATATACAGATGATAACCCTTGTTGACTAGGGGCGCCATCAACCCCATGACGGTTTCCACTGTCGTTTTTCCAATTCCACAATACACATCAAATTTATATATGTAGCCTGATGTCCCTTCGGCCAACATATAAAATTTTACACCATATTTATCAGGCTTGTTGGGATTGAAGACCTTGAAAGAGAGGCGGCCACGCCATGGCCTTGTACCCTCATCGAGACTCAATTCTTTTTTTGGGATATATACAGATGCAAATTTCTCGGTAAAATATTCCATTAGTGATCTAACTTTTATCAATCGGTCACTATTATTCACTGGAACACCTTTTTTATTATACATGTGGAAGAACTTAGAAATGTGTTGGAACCGAGCAGACGACATAAACAAGCTGAAGAATCGACAATGCCACATCTGATTCGTCTGCCAGTACATCCTCATTGTAGGCATCTTCACTATGCCCATCAGCATGCACAGGGCCAAATATCGGGCCATTTCCTTCACAGACACTGGTTTCCATGTTTTTCTTGCTGAGTCAGCCATCAGAAGTATGATGTGTGTGGCATACAAATTGGTTTCATACGCTAAGTATTCCACCACTGCTCTAGTAAAAAATAGTTGTAAAAACTGCAATGGAGTAGTAGGTATTGGAATTGTTAGGCCAGGGTTTGCAGAAAAGTCACCAACAATCGGAGGAGTATTGCTACGATTCCACTCATCACCCAGCCTAGCCCTCTTTGGTACCGGACACGTGCACTTTCCGCGTGGCGGGGCTGGGGCTTCTTCATCACTCTCATCCTCACTCTCATCCTCACTCTCACTCGAACTATCCTCCTCAGTTGAGGAAACCTCATATAGCACGTCACATTCAGGTTCGTCAGCCTCAATATCATCATCCTCAGACCCTGAAAACGCTTCAACATGGTCGGGAATCTTGGATGGAGTGAGCTTGACCCCACGATACAGATCGTAAATCATGGCGATCTTGTCTGCTTTCTTCGATTTCCTACCTCTTTTTTGCGTTCCACTGCTTGTTCCTGGTGCTGCATCCATGTTGAAGGTATTGAATGGGTTGTAGGTACACGAGAACGGAAATAAATGCGTAAAACAGGTCACGTTTGCTGCGAGAGGGGAGCGTAGTGTGGGCACTTGGGGTGTCAACAAAACAATGGGCCGACCACGTGACCGGGTAGGCCGAGATGCCATGTGGTCGGTGAGGGAGAACGGGAATTTCATGGCGAACAATTTGAGAGTATCCCCATCAAAATCGGTTAGAAAATGGAATTTATACAAATATTTTTTCGCCAGACTACACGCGTAGTCTGTTATGCGGAAACGTAAGAAAATTTGGTGACGACCTAGAACTCCTCAAATGCGCAAAAGTGTTAAGGGGCATAACTGACCGACCCCTCGCAGTGTTCAAGAGAGAACTTGACAAACACCTCCAAAGGATGCCTGATCAACCAGGCTGTGACTCATACGTCAGGCTGCAAGCAGTTGTGTCCAACAGCCTGGTTGACCAGTCCAGCAACCAGGAGGCCTGGTCGACGACTGGGCCGCGGGGTCGCTAAGCCCCGGAATCACTTCAAGGTGACCCTCAAGGTAAGGAGCGGGGCTTGTTGTTACAAGGAGTGGGGTTTTCTTTTTCCCCCTCTCTACGTACGAGTTGGATTTGGTGTCAGCGCCTTCCCGGATTCGGTTCCGTGTTCCCCTGGGTACATCAGTTCCCTCTTTCTGGAGGTTTTCAGCTTATCGCATCCAACCTGGTGTGGTGCGGGCGGCCATTGCAGCGTACCTCCTGCGTGACCCGGATTATATCTCGGAGATGGATCCATCCGAATTCAGGTTTGAGACTTCGTTCCGTTTCTGGCTCCGTTACAAGATTACGGAGTCTTCCTGGCTAGCAGACTGCCCCTTGTTTGTTCTGGATTCCTGGCATTCCTTCTGTCGTTCCCGCACGCTGGGTGGCGGGAAGCTTCCACGGTGATTTAGGTTTTCCTGGGGGGCGATCTTGAGTACCTGAACGAGTGTTTGTTTGCCCCTGCCCTTCCCTACGATGTGGGCGTTGTTCAGCTCCATGTGCAGGTTCCCTCCCTTTCGGCAGCACTCGTGGCGGAGGACTTGCACGCCTGGGGACTTTTAGCTTCGGCCTTGCAGTTCTTTTCCCTCCTGGAGCTGTCCTCGGTTTGGCTCGTGGAGGATCTGAGGGAGCTTGGGTCCATCCCAGGGTCTGGCACCTTGTCCTCTGTAGCGCGTTCGTCGGCTGCCTTGTTGAAGCTTTTCACGCAGATATTGCGGGATGCGGCTTCCTTGTTTTATGCTTCCCGACTCGCGTGTCAGTAGGCGGTGCTGGGTTCCTCCATGGAATCTGCTTGGGCTCTGGCTCTTAGGCTGTTGTTGCCTTTTGTCCTCTTCTGTTTGAGGAGTCGGCCGTGGCGCAGTTTATCCAGGCTGCGTCGTCAGCCTGTTGTCCGATGTCAGACTTGTTGTTTTTCCAGGGGTCCCGTGGTGGGTCTTCCCCGGAAGGGTCGTGCCAGGGCTCGGGGTTCCTCTCGTCGTGGTAGGCCACTGGTGTCGGGTTTGGGTTCGGGTTCGGCTCCTCCTTCGGACCCGCCCTCGCCTGGTCGGCGCGATGTTCACTCTGCGCGGGGTTCTTATATTAATTTATATTATATTATTATCTTATATATTATTATCTTATATTATATATTATTATCTTAGTTCTTATATTAATATATATGTTACTCTAGACAGTATTATAAATTAATAAATATCAGGCTTACATTGGTAATATTCACAGTATAGTATACTGCACGAGGGACAAATAAGCACTAGCACACTTCAGCAGTCTGTGAATATTACCAATGTAATCCTGATATTTATTAATTTATTATACTGTGTATCAGCTTTTACTATATTATTCCCCCCCCCCCCCCCACCTTTACTCTAGGCTGATGCCATCCCAGTCTGTATAATTGTTAATGAATAAATAAATTGCTTTAATTGATTGCTCATGTCTTCCAGTTATCATTTATTGTAGAATTTTATTCATCTTGCATTTTTTTTTATCTTAATTACTTTATACTAGACAGTTAAATATTTGTGTTTTAATTCTGAAGTAAGTATCTCATATATGTGTTTTCACTGCTTCATTGCAAATTTTAAACTTTTCTTGTCCGGTCACTAATCAGGGAGTGTATCAGGAGGCATTTTCGGGGTCTTGCTTGGAGAGCGAGAGTCGTGTGGGCATCTGTAATAGCTTGACCTACACTCCCCTGGCACAGACCTCTTGTGGCAGTCTTGTGAACCTCTTCCTGTTGCCAGATTTTCATAATCAGCATCATAGTAAGTGAAATTATTTGTAATTCTTTATTTCCTGCTGTATTTTAAACAGATGTTCTCAATAGGTATATAAGAATAGTAGTGATGCATGCACTATCAAGCCACAATTATAAGTAGAGCTCTTTATTTTCCCATTGGTTGAGCATTTGTGCTCTTGGCTATATTTTCTCTACACGTTAAACTTTCTTTACCATCTACACCATAGACTTTTCATTTCACTTTCAAGCAAATGCTTTTATTTAATGATTAATTTATATATTTTTTTACTTGGTAGGCTCACCCTTTCAGAATGTAAGTTATAGTTTTGCCTCCATTTTTTTCAAACCATTTCCTATTTGAAGATAATTTAGACTCTGATATTAACCTTTAAGCCACTAAGGGCCTTTTAGCCTTCAACACCAACAGGCACAAAAAAAAAATCTTTCGTCTTATAAAAGTGTTTGTTCATTCGTGTTCCCTGATCACTGGAAAAGAAATTGTAGGTGGCATATTTTGTCCGCAATAGGGCGGGAAAGTCTGGCAAAAAAGAGGCGTTGACAGCAGTCGCCAGATGAGGTCTTCTCTGCCCCAGCTGACAGGCGGGAGTGGCTACAAAGATATTATTTCCTAATTATTTCAATGTCTCTGATTGATTTTTTCTTTGTTTTTATTATTCAATATATTATAATATTTCAATAGTGTGTATTGTGATATATTTATATAATAAAATGTGTGAACCATCGCTGTACTCAAAATTATTGTGTTCATATTAGTGATTCAATTATTATGTTCATAAAACAATAAACAAATAGTTTTACTGTTATTACACTATATACACATGTCATATATAAGTATCTGCATGTTTTGTTCACCATAACAAACCACCAAGTTGGTATTGTGAGTCAAAAAGCAACGAAGAGTGGCCTTCACTCGCCAGCCAGTCAGCCACTCCCCACCACTCCCTCACTCACCTCCTCACTTGCCAACATACTCCTCTAACATACTGTTTTTGGTTTTATTCACTATACACAGTCGTTAAATATAAATATCTACATGTTTTGTTCACCATAACTGTACATCTAAGCTTGTATGGTGAGTTCAAGCAATAAAAGACGTAGCTACACACACAGTATAGCTGGTGGCTGCTACTGTCACTGGTTCAAGGCCAGACGCACTAATATTTCTCATCCAACAATACTGTTGTGTGTATAGTGTAATAACACCACAATTATATATATATAGGTATCTATTTGTTTTATTTCACAATAACTGTACAAATAAGCTGGTATGGTGACCAAAGACCATATAGGCCACCAGTAGACAACATGACATGTCATGCAGACGACACCACCTTCCTCGCCATAATGGCTGCTCCCAACATACTCCTTTTGCTGTTACAGAGCACCACTTGGTTTCCGAACCCCTTGTGGACGAGACCCGTTGGTTATCATGTAAGTTCGTAAACGAGAAATGGAGGGAAAAATAAATTAGAAATGTAAAAAAAAAAAAAGGGTTGAAAAATTTATGAATAAACTCTAGGGGAAAAATTGACAGGTTCATAGCGTAAATGCGACTGTATTTTGTTTGTACTCACCAATAAGTGAAGTCCTGATCCGCTTTATGTTGATGATCGATGTTGATGAAGCATAGTTATTTACATGGAAGACATGGTGGTGGTGGTGGATGTTGATGGTGTTGGGTTGACTGAAGTTGTTGGGTTGATTGGGTCAACATGCAGCCCGTCCTCCAAAAATGGGGTGGTAAATGTAAGAAGACAAATTAGTGCAATTATGTACTATTCATAGCAGTTAGGAATTGTACTTATTTTCACTTAGTATTAAATTGTACTGTCAAATATATTGTGAATATTTGGGTTTACCTGAAAAACTGAATAGAAAACCACAACCTCACCTAACCGTCTTAGTTTTTGAAGATGATAATTTTATTGCTTCTTAATTAAAATTAGTACTTAACCTATAGCTATATTGATATTACAGTTTTATAAAACTAATAAAACAAAACTAAAATATATCAATAAATTGTAAAGTAACTCAGGATATTTTAAAATATTGTATAAAATCTATATTGTTTAATAAACCTGAAAAAGAAATTCCTGATATTTAAAACTTGTGTATTGCAAATTGAAGTTGAAATCTTCATTCTAAAATTCTGAGTGTCTTAACAAAAAACGAGAAGAATTAAATTGGGGGAGGGAGTTGGGTAAATGTAACAGCCCCATAAGTGCAATTATGCACTGTTTATGAGTTAGAAAGTGTACTTATTGCACTTAGTATTAAATCGTACTGTCAATTCGGAGGATGGGTTGCAACATGTGATGAGTCGGGTGCAGGTAATGCAATGTGAGCTTTCTTGGAAGTCATTGCAAAAGACTTTGATTGACATTTGTTTGTGACATCATCTGCTACTAGCTTCTTCGTCACCTCACGCCTCTGTTTGTACCACTCCCACACTGCGTTATCAACACTCTGCACCTTTGCTTTACTTACTACCTTTCTATTTCGTATTGCCTTACAACTTTCACTTTTAGAGACATAGTAAAAAATGATAGGTTTAGCCTTAAGAAGAGCAAAAACAGTACTTTTGCTAATGCCATATCCAGCGCACACAACACTTCTCGGGACACTGCTCTCCACCTTCTTAATTATTTCAACTTTCTTCTCAAATGTCATCACTGACCTCTTTCTTTTATGTATCCCACTTGTTGATGCTTTCACTGACACAATGTGTGCATTTGGAGCCGACATGGTGCACGGATGCTCTTTGATTGTGCAGATATATCCAACAAAGTCAGGGAACGAACACTCCAGCCTCGTGACAAATCAAAACAATGGGAACAATAGGCCATGAATCTGTGATGTCACAGGGTAGCAGGCACCAGAGAGGTGGCGCCCAACACGTTCAGTGGGCAAACTAAATCATCTCCCACCCACCACCACAGGCTGGTGCAACGCTCGTCTGGCCGCTCCCTCACCCGAACTTGGTTCGTGTAGGATAATTCCCACCCCGGCCGGCATGAAGCTTGGCAGACTGCTTCCTAACCAAACTTAGTTCGTGTAGCATGACTCCCCAACCCCAATCGGGAAACTGGAAGTTTCGGATGACTAAAGTTTGGAAACTAAGTGGTGCTCTGTATTACACTATATATACACATTATGCAATTGATGATCATGAAACACTGATCATTTGTATGCGGAAAATCCACACAGAGAAATGGAAGAGAGAGATGAACGTTTCAGCCGATCTGGGCCTTTGTCAACACCATTGTTGACAAAGGCCCAGATCGGCTGAAACGTTCATCTCTCTCTCCCATTTCTCTGTGGATTTTTCGCATACACATTACATATAAGTATCCACATTTGTATTCACCATGGAGAACCACTAAGCTGGTATAGTGAGTCCAGACAGTAAAAGGTGGTCACACACAGTCAGTAGACAATGCTACCTCCCTCCCCACCAAGATTACTCCTCCCACTACAGCGCTAATTATCACAACAATCCTGCTATTATCAGAATCCTGGTCATTTTTATCACAGTCAGGGGTCTTCTGTAATACTATCATTGCTAAATAATAGCATGTACATATATATTTTGACATTTTTAGGCGATGCTGTGGTCACAAGCTGAACAGCGATTCTGTGAGCTCATGCTGCATGTGCCATCCTTGGTGGCTCACTCAGTACTGATGCTCTCACACCAAGGAATGTTGCCCACGATTTTTTTTCTAGGTGGCGTCTGTTAACTATCGGTTGTGGCTGGACTATAGCTGCCCCTATTCCTCGCAGGGTATTTAAAATCATGTGCTAGAGCCTCAATCGTCTATACAGTACAACCTCGATACAATGCACTATATGGGACCAACCCCAGTGCATTGGAGCGTTGGATGTGTTGCAAGGGGTGACCTTCAGGAGGCGTTTGCGTCAGTGTCTTCTTTTTTTCTTGTACACAATAAAAATGCATTATCATATTATATACTGTACCTATATATTATTACCCTACTAAAAAATACTGTTACATTTGTTATTTACCTTATTGTTGAAGTTATGTCCATCTAGAAGTCTCGTGGAGTTGTGAATGCTGTACAGTAAATACTTACTGTAGTGTATTATACCGTTAACACTGTGTTGATTAACACTTTCGCGCTCTCCGCGAAGGTCATCGAAACAACCGTAAGTGCTCACGGCGTTTTGCCGCATAAGCGTAAAAACAAAAATGTGTATACTCTTTTTACTCTCATGACCTTAGTTCTCGAGCTACGTATTTCATTTTGGTACCAACGTGTTCGCAATAAAATTCTCTAGAAGAACATCAGTAAAAAAAAGTCACGAAACGTATAGGGATACCAGCACCAAATAAACAACTACGAAGATGACTCGCCGTGAGCGCCCAACAGCAACAAAATGTTTTTACTCTTGGGATTGTTATCACCTCCACACTTGTCCTACAGCATTAATTTTGGTATCAATGGACTCGCAATGAAATTCCCAACACGGTGATGTGAATATAAGCGTAGAATAATGATTGCGGCCCGCCCGCAAGAGTGTGGGAAGTGGTGAAATTGTTACCCGGTGTCGGTGATGGGACGACGCACGGCGCTTTGAAAGTTTATACTTATTTCATTCTCATGACATTATTATTCTATGTACGTCATTAATTTTTGTGTCAATGTGTTCGCAATAGAATGTTCTATGAGCCCGTAGGTAAAAAAGATCAACAAAGCGTAAGATAGAATAGCGCCAAATATAAAACAACGCTGGAACATATCGGTGAGAATCAAACACACACGAAATGTTTTTACTTTTGTTATGTTTGTGAACCTTTCATGAACTTATTGTACCATGCAGCCTATTGGTGAGAAAGAGAGCCTCATGGCGCGCAGTTTGAAACAAACCCAAAGTAAATCGGATAAAAATTGAATTTTATACAAATATTTTAAAAGAGGACATAAGTTTATGTCCACTATGCGGTGGCGTTAGGCGAAACAGGACTCCTCGGTGAGTCCGGTTAGCGCGAAAGTGTTAAGTAGTTCTGCTGTATGTTGAGTAGTACTACAATACAGTTTATGAAAACTATTGTGCACTAAAATTACTGCAACTTTAATTTTAACACATGTACACACTTAAATTTAACACTTGTTCTAACTGTTCTCGCCACACACGATGTTTTTAGATGTTTGCATCAGCTTTGCTGGTGCTCGCTGCTGCTGTGGGTTCAGCTGCTTCTGAGCTGGTGCTGGCTGCTGTTGTACCAGTGCTGGGTACAACTGTGCTCGGGCTGGGTATGGCTGTGCTCGTGCTGGGTACAACTGTGCTCGTGCTGGGTACGGCTGTTCTCATGCTGGGTACGGCTGTGCTCGTGCTGGGTACGGCTGTGCTCGTGCTGGGCATGGCTGTGCGCGTGCTGGGCACGGCTGTTCTCGTGCTGGGTACGGCTGTGCTCGTGCTGGGTACGGCTGTTCTTGTGCTGGGTACGGCTGTTCTTGTGCTGGGTATGGCTGTGCTCGTGCTGGGTACGGCTGTTCTCGTGCTGGTTGATTTTCTGCTCCAAATTCTTGCAAAATATTGCTTCATTTTTGGCATTAATAAGGCACTATTAGTAAGCCCCTGAGACATTTTGTTGAATAACAATACAGCTATAGTCAAAAATGGTAAATTCCACAATTATTCTTCCACCGGCAGTTAAATACTGTACATCAATCACAGACAAAGCTAAGGGCACTGGGTGCATACTGTACGAACGCAGACTAGGTCTATACGTACACCCTACAGTAGGCTGGTGTTTAAGCCAGATCCAGTAACATAAATTTCTCTCAAATATTCGATTTACATCAAATTATATATTTTTGGGTTATATATTTAGTTTAGCAACATTATTACGATAATAAGAGCTATAAAAAATACTTATTTTAGAACTGATTTATTAATTTTATTATTTCGAAGCCGTAGGTCACTGAACTGTGGTGACGAAATTGAATAAAACAAGCATGGTGTTTTGTTCAATTTCCAGTAACATAAATTTCTCTCAAATATTGGATTTACATCAAATTAACAAATCCACAAGGGCCGTGACGAGGATTTGTTCATTTGATGCATCACACAATTGTGATTTCTGTGTGTACATCAAATTGTATATTTTTTGGTTATATATTTAGTTTAGCAACATTATTACGATAATAAGAGCTATAAAAATACTGTACTTATTTTAGAACTGATTTATTATTTTTATTATTTCAACGCCATAGGTCACTGAACTATGGCGACGAAATCAAACAAAACAAGCATGGTGCCTTCTGCCCAATATTCACTAATGAAATTATGAAGGGTAGATACAATGAAAAAAAGAACTCCCAATGACCTGAACAAAATGGAAAAAAGTTCCTGCAAGTGGGTCATAAGTAATTCAAGCAATTGCAAAGTAATGGTACCGCGTGTCTGGCTTCTTGTTCCCAGCGCCTAGCTTTGTTAATGACTAAAGAGACTTTACCATCTTCTTCTTGAGGTTATCTTGAGATGATTTTGGGGCTTTTAGTGTCCCCATGGCCCGGTCCTCGACCAGGCCTCCTTCCCCAGGAAGCAGCCCGTGACAGCTGACTAACACCCAGGTACCTATTTTACTGCTAGGTAACAGGGGATAGAGTGAAAGAAACTCTGCCTATTGTTTCTCGCCAGCGCCCGGGATCGAACCCGGGACCACAGGATCACAAGTCCAGCGTGCTGTCCGCTCGGCCGACCGACTCCCTAGACCACTGTCATGTTTTTCTCCCACACCCCATCCTCTGAACATGTGTGAACTGTGGTTCTCCCTTCTCAGGGAGGTTTATTATCTCTAGCTTCATTGGTAATGCAGTGAGTCATATCTACCTTGGCTCTGGTACATCACCAACATTTCCTTTTAGTATTAGCTTTTATTGATGATATTTTCCTTGATAAACTTCTGAAATATTCCACAGAAAGCATAGTGTGTCTACAATGGGTATGAGAACACGACTGCCTTGGGCAGTGTGTGTCAGCCACATGGGGATATTTTTGTAATACCCCATGTAGCATGCAGGGAGCCGGTCGGCTGAGCGGACAGCACGCTGGACTTGTGATCCTGTGGTCCTGGGTTCGATCCCAGGCACCGGCAAGAAACAATGGGCAGAGTTTCTTTCACCCTATGCCCCTGTTACCTAGCAGTAAAATAGGTACCTGGGTGTTAGTCAGCTGTCACGGGCTGCTTCCTGGGGAAGGAGGCCTGGTCGAGGACCGGGCCGTGGGGACACTAAAAGCCCCGAAATCATCTCAAGATAACCTCAAGATGCTGCCATGTTTACATATAAGTAGCACTGTTTATATTTCAGTGGATGGAATGGGTTTATATAGCAGATGGTTAAAATAAAAAGTATTCTGATGGAAAAAAGGGGAACTTGGGTTGCTGTTCGTAAGAGTGGGTTTTCATAAACTGGGGACCTGCTATATTTTACTTTGATAAAAGAAATACTAATAACAAATAATAAAAGTATTCTGCATTTTCAGGTGCTGTAACTTTCGCTGAGGCTCTGAGTGAAATGAGGCGCCAGCTGTTGAGTGTGCGACGTTTACCCCTCACCCATCTTACTCTTACTGAAAAGTCCTGGTAAATATAATCAGTAACATCAATTATGTGTATTAATAATGTTTTATTTGATCTTGAAATATTCTTTATTCAGTGGGGAGTGCGAATAACAGTTAAAGTACAGTAGGATGGTGGATATTCAGTTTTCTGTTGAACAGAACACAGTAACAGTCAACCGAATAAAATCAAGTGCAAGTGCAGTTAAAAGCTATGTACTTCACGGTGCAGTCCTTGCACCACTGTTTTCCTTTATTCTCATATCAGATACAGACAAAAATACAAATCACAGTTTTGTATCATCTTTTGCAGTTGACACTAAAATCAGCGTGAAAATTACTTCTGTTGAAGACAATGTTAACCCTTAAACTGCTAAGGGGTCCTGAGGAGATTTACATCCCTGTGCGCAAGAAAAACAAAAATTCTAAAAAAAAATTTCGTCTTCTAAAAATGTTAATTTGTGTTCCCTGAGCACGGGGGAAAAATAAAAAATCGTAGGTGACATATTTTGGGCGCAATAGGCCGAGGAAGTCTGGCAAAATGTGGGCGTTGACAGAGTGGTCGTCAGTGACGGTCAGCGTCACCCAAACTGTCAGGTGGGAGTTGCCATGAAAAGATAGCTGAAAAGATTATTACCTTTGTAACACGGGTTAGGGTTCCTCTCTCTTTACTTCCTTCTTTCTACTCCCTCTACCCGTATTCTTACTTTTATTTCTAAACCAAGGGACTCCAAAACTTTTACCAAAGCCAACTCCACGCCACGTGGTCCTAAGACGATTGACCGACTTAGGATTCTACACCCAGTATGACGTGACCTAAGCTCTGAACAAAACCCTAGAGTCACCTCTGCTGCCACCACCAGACCAGTAATACAAGAGCAATGATCGAGGTCTGGATCGATCACGCTAATTAATCAACCTAGGGGCTTGATCCCCACTATAAACGATGACCTTGAGTGTGGAATAAATTACACGGTAATGATAATTCCGATTCGATGTTAGAATCGGCGCCCAATGCAACTCTGCCTCGTGTGGACCACGTGACCAGGACAAGTATACACATAAAACACATGGAAACAATAAAATGCAAATTAATAACAAATTTAATTTATTAAACGAAAACTAAAACAAAATCTAAATATGTTCACTCCCTATCAATTTAACACTCCCTACTTGACCTGAGTGGCAAATGAGACTATTTCTATACTTAACAATAGCAACTATACCTTGGGCGACCACAGTTCTAGGTGTTGGGCCTGTTCTTGGGGAGAGGTAAGATGTTTGACCTCTCCTAGCTGCTTCCGTGACCACACTGATTTTTCCTTGTCTGGACTACCCCAGACAGAGTATTGTATTGTTCCGCATCGCTTACCCAGTTACTTTAGCAAGGTTAAGTTATAACAATTAAACTCTGTTGTACTTAATTGATCCAGACTGGTTGAATTATTTTACTGAATTAAATTACAAACATCTAACGGCAGAGCTGTTCCCGATCACAAAAATGGTTATTAAAACTTTGAGAAATATTAGACATGTCAACCCTGCTGACCTATGACCGCCGGTCACTCCGCCTCAAAAGTTAGATCTGATTCGTGACGTCACTGATGGTGACTTAAACTCAATAATTAGAATACTCTTGATATTGTATCCAGTACTATTATACAATACAATTTTAATGCAAAATGAATAAAGGCTAATTTTCTCTAAATTACTGAATACTATAGGATGATTCATTATACGCAGCTATGAACAAAGCGTTGGTTATTTCCACCGCGAATTCCCCTGGGGGTCAGGTCACCATGCGGCTCAGCTTCCCATTCTCTTTTGTCGATAAACCACTCTGGATAATTCTTACAACAGCCTAGTTTGTTACAACCCCCCCGCACAAGCACTTAGTAAACCTTGTTAATTTGTTAAAATTCACGAGGTTTAGTATCCAAACCCACAATTCAACTCATGCCACAAACAAAAGCTAACCTAACTAATAAAATTTGACAAATAATAGTCCAACATCATAATGAACATGTTCATATTTCATAAATTTCTCAGCTGTCAACTGACAGCAATCCTCTAATATCAGGAAACATACATCCTATCCTTACTGACATAGCTAAATAACATGTCCCTACTCTACCATCAAAAACTAGCTATTAAACTCTCTTGGCTCTTCACTAGCCAAGTCCATGTGTCCTCTAGAGCCGGCCACACCGTGCTCAAACAAACATTAAAGTATATCTTCAGACTGAACTTTCAGTCATCCGGGAGCGTACTACGGAACTATCAAGTTCACATCCGTGTACTAACCACTCCCCATCAATGTCAACCTTGACATGTTAAGGAACACACCTAACGTTTATTACATCTATCTAAAAATAAAAAAAAAATTCCTATACTATATCACAGGTTTCAGCTGACTGTACAGCCAAGTGTTCTCACTCACTAGAAGTGTCAATGTTTATATTGGTCCGCCTCTCCTGTGTTCAAACATTCTGAAAAAAAATAGCACAACATAATTTTCCATAACCGTTTGTTCTGGGCTGAGACAATTACACAGGGGCTTCGATTTTGATTACTGACCAATTTATAGTTAAATTTTCATATATTATACCAGGATTATTTTAAATCTGTTTTTCAACATTTATAAAGAATTGATTCTAACTCTGTTTTTCAACATTTAAACAAAAGTGTCCAGATGTTCTTTACACAGATGTTCAGAGCCAACTTTGTTGTTTGTATCAATTGTTCATATTGAGTAAACGAAAAAAAAAATCGATGCTGCTGGATGCTGAATGTAGTCGCTGACGATGACGGTGTCGATCTTGCTTCTTCTCATGTGTAGACATCAATACCTGGTCCTCTTGTACTCCCATCCGGTACTACTGAATGACGACAGAGTGTAGTAGAGCTGAGTGCCAAGTGACAGCTGTAGAATACTGTTACTTCGGCCATTAATCTTGCTCTCGACAGTCCACACGCCTTCATATCAATCACAGTTCACACGGCAGTCTTGATGTTAAACTTGACGGCGCAGATGACCACAGCAGAACAGGACTGGATGTACCAACAGTGTCTCTTAGCAGGAGTGGTGTCAGAAGGTCGTAGAGGCGGGTTGCTTGTTTGCAGAACAGGTGAATCTCGTCTTCCATCATTGCTCACGTCATCTCAGGCGTTTCTTGATGTCCCCAGGTTACTAGGCCGTAAACACCAACTGTGTATACCCTCGTACCGCCGACTTTAGGCCAAAGGAGACAATTTTGCGACCTTCTATTGGCGAGTCCCGGTACTCTGTAGGGAAACCGTGCCTTCCACCTGTGACCGCCTTACTTCCGCTTTCTTGTTACTTCAGATGACGTAATCATTAATCTTCCGGCGAAATTCTTGAGTACTGCTACGTGCTTTCCATTTCTTGACCTCTCCTCCAACACTGCTGGAATGGCTGCAGTCTTGATGACGCAGCAGGTGGGTAGTGGTGATCTCGAGACAGCTACCCCGGCGTTGTATGGCACCTCCGGTGACTGCTATAATGTGGACAGCTCGCTGGCCCTGACAACCTCGTTAGTGACGTGAGGCGTCGGCCGGGTGACTCTTGGACAGTCACTCATCCCCAAAGTAACTGATGTATGGGTTACTGGGTCTGGTGGGGGGAGGGCTTTGTGTAACGTGCCTCCCCCCTCGGTCTTTACAGACAAGGGTTCACGTGTGGCTGGAACAACTGGGTCGGTGTACCAATCAGACCTGGGAACAGACAGACACAACACAGCGGAAGCATAGATATACTCTGGGTTTGGTGGAGGTGGAACCCCAGAGCACGGTAAAAGTTGCTACCTGAGTCAAGTATAGACATAGTACATCTCATTGCCTTTACAGGAAAATCTAATCAATACTAAATTATACTAACTAAGGAAGTTACTTTACTGTACAGCGCGAGATCTCGTCACCATAGGGTGGCGAGACTGCACCTGACTACTGATGAGCGATGACAGAGGGTCATCCTCATCTTCTGACTCGTCGGTGAAGCCATGAGTCAGCACTGCTGAGTCAGGAACTAGACCCGCTGAAGGCAGTTCTAATTCCTCTCTAGCATGATAATGTTTCAATTTATTTACGTGAATTGTCCTTTCCACCTGGTCCTCGAACACTCCTTTTATAACAAGATTAACCGGCCCCGCCCTTTTAATTACTCTATAGGGTCCTCGCCACCTCGGAGCTAGTTTCCTGCTCTGATTGGCGGGCGCAGCCTCATTCACTCTCAATACGAGGCTTCCTTCCTTCAACTCAAGAGGGCGCACTTTCTTGTCATAAAAATGAGCATACCGAGTCCGTGCCTTCTTGGACGCTTCAGCTGCAATATTCCATGCATTTCTCATTTTACCAAGGACCTCTGAAGGATAGTCCTCCCCGTATGCAACATTATGTCTGTTAAGCAGACCTGACGGGAAATTGCATGAATTACCAGTAAACAAATGAAGTGGTTGGGTGTTAATTGATTGGTGGATGGCAGTATTCAAGGCGAACTGAACATAGGGTAGGTGTTCATCCCAGGTGTTTGCATCATGTTCAGCAAGGATTGCAAGCATATCCTTGACTGAACGATTAGTCCGTTCCGTCATTCCGTTTGCTTGTGGGTGGTAGGCCGTTGTAAAAGCCGAAGTTGTCTCTAAAATCTTACAAACTTCTCTAAATATATTCCCATTGAATTCTTGACCCCGGTCAGAGACTAAAACTTTAGGAGGTCCGAATACAGTAACGAACCTACGCAAGAATGCATCTGCAACCGTACGAGAATCCTTCTGAGGTAATGCAACTAGTGTAGTGTATCTAGACAGATGGTCAACTAGCACCAACACGTATCTGTTACCCGCATGACTGTGGTGTAAATCAATCAGATCGGCCCCCACACGATCTAACGGTTCACAAATTTCAGGAAATTCCTGAAGTGGGGCTTGTACCTTAAGGGTACCTTTCCTCCTCTGGCAACGAGGGCACGACTTCACGAAATTGATTACCTCAGAAAGTAATCCTGGA